GTTTATATCTTATGAAAACATCTGCAGACCTGAAGCAGTCTATTCAAAAAACTTAGGGGAGAGAAACAGAAAGTAAAAATTACCAGTAAATTGGATAAAGAGAAATATCTAAAAGACAACAATCATTTTATATATCCTTATCTAATTTACAGCTGTAAGCTGACAGGCTTTAAGGTTTTATAATACTCTTTGTTGATTTAGATGCGACTGCTACATGTTTAAACATAACAAAACAAACAGGCAAAATCCCTGAGTACTTTAGTCATCAACATTTCTGAGATGGGCTGATATAACAAATGTTTAAGGAGAAAAAAATAGAAGTGATGATTCTACTTTCTCCAAAACAGTCAGAACCAATATAAAAGGGAAGCTTCAGTTATTTAATTTCCTAAGGTTAGGAACTGCATTGCCATCTTGTGGAAGAAGAAAAAATTGGAAAAATCTGACATGAGCCCATCTTTTTTTTCCATGCTGATAAATTATTCACAAAATAGAAGAATTGGTGTGCATGTGTATTAGAGAGATGGGGGGGGGGAGAGATAGATAAAATAGCAGAGAAAACTACATTGTCCTTAAATCTTTTCTGAAGTCTTTACAGGAGGAAAATATCATCAGCTCATTCTCCTTCAGTAATTTCATGAGTAGATACTTACAGACTTCATTACCTCCAGATTGCAAGTTCTGTTGCATAGAATTTCATGGGGCTTAGTATAAAATTACTAGTTACATCATGGTTATGCTATTTGTGCTAAAATTATTCCAGAAATTATATTCTTCTAACCTTTTTCACTTCAAGTATAATAAGATCATTCATCGCGTTTTCATACTTTGTCCTTAATGCTGTATTATATGAAAATCTGCCAAAATCACATCAATGTATATGCCCTTGCATTCATCCATCCCCCATCTCTCTCATGGTGTGCATATAATATAATACTTCCCATGTATTTCAGGGAACTAAATGGCAGCATATGGGTCCCATGTTTATTCCACAATAAACAGACTACTATGCTACATATTAAACTAGTGGCAGGAAATGAAAGGAGAGTACTAGTCCTATTCCCCTTCCTTTGGGTTTATATGAACATGTGTAATTGAGGATGAGGGAGTAGAAACATAATCGCAAGAAAAGAGGATTGTCATTTCCTACAGTCAGTCAGAAAAGTGAAAAGGAAGGCCGCTGCGATGAGCAAAAGAATAGGGAAAGTGTTTTCCACCCTGCCTCTTCTGATCCAGAGGGTAGAGCCAGGGGAGCTGAAGTGAGTGAGGAAGGTGGGTGAAGACAGTGGTTCTATTATCCATAAGGTGGGTCAGGATGTATAAAGGGGTTGTGAATATAGCTAGTAGGTGAGGTTACTATCCTGTATTATACTTAGTTGGATCTCAAGAGGGAATCACTTGGTTGGACTGAGAAAGGACAGTCAGCTAATTGAGAAGGGTGGAAATGGAGAAGATAACGATAAGGGAAAGTCAAACTTTCCAGAAGAAAAAAAAAAATGGAAATTTTATTTATTTGTTGAAATTTATTGGCCACCCAACTCCAGTGGACTCTGGAATTTGCTGCCCAGTCTCAACTCATAAGCCAATTATTCAGACTGCTGATTATCTTGGTCTCAAGTTTAGGTTTTAAATGTGGATCTGTTGGTAATAAATCTAACCTTGATATAATGATGGATGAGAAAACATATTGCTGTATCTTCTGCCTTCTGGTTTCAGACATTGGGCCTGGGACGGAAACTGTCTTGGTTATCTGCTCATTGGTTAAGACTTATGATGAGAATTAGGTGGAGGGAGTGACAAACCTACAGAAACATACGGAATGGGCAAGCCCACTAAGATGATAATAGTTTCCCATTCTCATGGCCTTCTGGAAGCTGGTAAAAACCTGGGAAACCTTTCAGAATTGACTCTGCTTTCACCAGAAGTAACATTAGTATAATGTTCTAAAGTACCTTTTACATTTTAAATAATATTGTATTATTTATTATTATTCTATTACTATCTCTAAACTGCTTAGGTTTAAGGAGTGATGCAGGAAGAAATCTCATAAAGAAATAATTCTGTCTCCTACCTATTTTATAGTTTCCCTTTAGAGGTTTTATGGCTTTTATCTCTCTTGACCTTGTCTCTAAAAGAAGAACTCTGAGGTAGAGCATATCAAGCCCCACAGAGGACTGGGAATAGCAAGAGGGAGAAAGCCTTAAATATGCATATTCAGTGAAGAAGCTGTAAACCGTCACTTTTTTTCTTGGTATGGGGAAAATCTGTCCACTTATAACATGGCTATTTTTCTTTTAGTTTCTTACGTTTTTTGCAGAGGAAGAGATATTTATATCTGCTCTGATGTGTTGAGAAGCAGCCACAGCATCAGAAATCTACTAAACTTTAACAATCCATTTTCTAAACTGAGTTTCTTCGAGATTAAGGCTTGTATTTGATTATCTTCAGCTCTGTTTTTGCTTGCTGGGCTGGAGTTCCTCCTTGTCACTGTTTATCTCCTCTTCTACTCTCATGACACATTATTCTATAGCAGACATGTCAAACACAATGCCCGGGGGCTGGATGCGGCCTGCGAAGTGATTTCATGTGGCCCGCGAAGCCATCCTGGAAACAATGAAGGAACGGCCCCCACTGCCTTGGCCCTGGCCCAGGCTGGCCGGGAGCCAATGTACAATTTTGTGGTGGCCATCTATGCTGAAGTGCATTCAGTCTTAGCTCCACAAGGCCGTCTAGAAACAGCGAGGAACCAGCCCCTGCTGTGTCGGCTCCGCCCTCTGGGTGCATGCTGGGGAGGTGTCACCCTTTGTGAGGAATGAAGAAATGGATCATGCCTTGGTGCGTGCCCCGGTCCCACCCCTTCTGCCAGAGACCCTCAGATCTGTCCCACTCCTGCCCAGACTCCCACAGGCACCCTTGACATGAACGATGTAGAGCTGGCCATGCCCACCCAGTAGGCCACACCCATTCCATCCACGCCCACCCAGTAGGCCACACACACCCGCCCCCCCAAGGGCAACTGCAATGCTGATGCGGCCCTCAATGAATTTGAGTTTGACACCCCTGTTCTATAGTCCCCTAACTGCCCTACATAAAAGGAGAGAGAATTGTATTAGAATGTGGCATTTCTTTCTGACCTGGCTGGATTTTCTACAGAAGCTGAGTACTTTGGATTCAACGATAGCTCCACAGTGTTTCTTGTGTAGCTTAGCTGCGGTGCTAATCAGCTACTCTGTTTCTCTCCCACCAAGAAAAAAGATTGATAATATCTTGCCATGGTTTCCAGATTGTGTTTTCAGGCTGATACAGTGGCACAGTAGTGCTCAAATGTAGTGCAACCTCACCTTCTAAAAAAGAAAAAGACAAGAGGAAGGAAGGGAGGTATAGAAGAGAACACAAGAATGGAATGGTGTTTTGTTTTAAAAAACTAAACAACTGGGCTTTTGAACTTTCAGATGAATTCAACTGCCTGCACTCTATGCAGGGCCAATGGTATCTCTCCTGGGAAGACCCATTCAAGATTGGATCTTGCCTGCTAGTTCCTTGAAGTGGAGCTACGAAGGCAATTCAGAAATAAACCTCCATTTGGTTATCAATGACAAACACTCGCAGATATAGAACCTTTATTATACACATAGAAAACTACAACATTACATTAATTTTCAAATAATCACCATTCAAATTGAGGCATTTTTCATAATGTCTTACAAGGTTTGAAATCCCTTAGTAGTAGTCGCACGGTGCCAAATCTGGGCTATGGGAGGGGTGATCAAAAGCGTCCCAACGGAATTGCTTCAAAAGTTCTTGGGTGAGTCTAGCGGTCTGTGGGCGAGCATTATCGTGAACCAACACCACACCGGAAGTCAGCATGCCCCGATGCTTGTTATGGATGGCTCATCTGAGTTTTGGTTACGTTTCACAGTAGGCTTCTGAACTGATGGTTGAACCACACTCCATAAACTTCACTAGCAGTACTACTTTGGCATCCCACATTTGGTGGGATTTTCTATGGCAGTGGTGGCGAACCTGTGGCACGGGTGCCAGAGGCGGCACTCGTCGCCCCAGTCCTAGGCCTTCAGCTGGGTGTTATAAAACCTTTTCTCTTTAGGCCTCTGCCGCCATGTGCAAAAAAAAAAAAAAAGGTTCAATCAGTCAATTTCAACTTCTGGGGGGGGGGGAATTCTTGCAAAGTTGGAATTGATTGATTGAACTTTCTAGTCCCACCCAGTCTGTCGTTACCACCGCAGCCATGCCCACCCAACTGGCCATGCCCACCCAATTGGGCATACCCAGCCAATGGGCCACACCCACCCGGCACTCGACAATGCATAAGTGGGTTTTGGGTTGCAGTTTGGGCACTCGGTCTTTAAAAGGTTCGCCATCACTGTTCTATGGCATCACTTCCGGTGTGGTGTTGGTTCACGATAATGCTCGCCTGCACACTGCTAGATGCACCCAAGAACTTTTGAAGCAGTTCCGTTGGGGTGTTTTTGATCACACCCCGGCATAGCCCAGATTTGGTGCTGAACAGCTACTACTAAGGAATTTCAAACTTTATGAGACATTATGACAAGTGCCTCAATTTAAACGACGATTATGTCAAAAAGTAATGTAATGTAGTTTTCTAATGTGTGTAATAAAAGTTCTGTATCTGCGAGTGTCTGTCATTAATAACCAAACGGAGGTTTATTTCCGAATTTACCCTCGTATCTCAAAGTAGAAGATGCCCCCTCCCCAGAGGATAAATAACTCCTTTTCTGTAATCAAACTTGGGATAATTCTTTTATGACTGGTTTATCACACTTCTTTCCCACTTTTAAAAAGGGTAAGATTTTCAAATGTCCTGGATATAATTGCTAGATTGTTTGTAAAGGAAAGTACAAGGTTATATGAAAGAGATAGTATTGGCTGTCGGGAAAAAATTAAACGGCTTTAAACCAGGCTTCAGAACACATAAGGCAGCAACCAGTATAAAGCAAAAGAAATGAAATTTAAAATCTTACCACAGGAGGCTGACTTTTTCTCCACCCCCAAAACATGTTTGGTTTGCTTGCGTAGGTTGTCATCAGTATTTTCTACCAAATTGGCAAGATCATCAATGATTTCTAGAAAGAAGAACATGACTGAATATTAATATCTAAGCTTTCTATTATTACTTCTAAACAAACAGAATTTTATCAAAACAAACATTTCTGTAATTCTGATTTTGCATTGCAGTCCTCTGAAGTAGATTAAGTAGATAGAGGATCATTTAAGATATAGTATAATCTATGCTGAACTCATCAAAAGAACCATATGCGTAAGTAGTATAATGAATTATTAAAGCATTTTAACACAGCTACTTGAGGCAAACATATTTTGGCATTGGATTACGGTAGGCTTCACTCTGAACCAAAGTTTCTTTGGTAAGAAGAAAGCAGAAAAATTTTTTGGGGGGGGGCTGTTGTTTTTTTTGCATCTTCCTGCATGACAAATTTACAAATTTATGAAGGAATAAAAGGCTCTTCAATGCCCACCTCTCATATCACACTGGATTTGGCTGTTACAAATAAAGCAGACTACTTTTTTTTTTTTTTTTTTTAGGATCCTGTAAAGTACTTGGTAACATTTCATAAGAATTTACCGTTAAAATTAATAAAATAGAGAAAACAAGTTTTAGGGTTTAGGTTAATGTTGTAATTTTGCTGTGCTGAAAATACCCTTAACTTATCATTTAAATTAAGGAAACTTCTGACTACTTTAAGATACCACTCCTGTTTCCCATGATTTCCCTCCTCTATCTGAAGTGAAGGCTGGTATGGCCTCAAGATTGTTCAAGGGAAAACCTTTGCTCTTTCCTTCAAACAAGTATGTTTCTTCCTCACTGTAAAATAAAGATGCATACATGCAGGGCTTTTTTTCTCATAGAACGCCCAGAACGGAGTTCCGGCACCTTTTTTGGATGGAACCTTGTAGGGTAGGCAAGGCGGGTTGTATGACGTGTGTGAGTTCTGGCACCTTTTTTTTTTTTTTTTACAAAAAAAGCACTGCATACATGATAATTACATAGCAAGTATGGTAACAATATGATGATAATTTAGCCACTGAAAAATCCCCAAGCCTCCAATTCTTAATCAGGCTCTTAGAATATCTGATCTTAGCAGCTCTGACATGGATTGGCATTTGTACAAGCAGGTCATTATTTTACAGGTTTTTATGACTTTGGGGAGTGCTTCAACCAACCAACATACTTATGAACCTAATAACAATCATATGTACTATCTGTAATGGAGGAGAGTGGGGGAGGATAATAATGCCTACATTTCAGAGTATTTTAAGAATAATGAGTTTCATGTGAAATGCTCTGAATTTCTGATAAGTGCCACATCAAACTAATAACAGCCACGTTTTTTTGTCCACATACTTCACCTCCTTAAGTGCTTTATTTCCCCAAAACTCTCTCCTGCTTCAAGATAGACGTTCTCTTGCGGATTTTTACAGAACTCAACTCACTCAACACAAAGCACTTTGAAGTGGCAGGAGTGTTATTTATGGGCAACTCTAAGTTAAAAGAAGAGACTGGTGTGCAGATTCTACTTTACTTCATTCATGGTTTGTTTGCTATTTTGTAAAAAGTTTTTATTTTCAATTTTACAATACATTACATTCTTAAAAATACTTCAGATAAAAAAATAAAACAAATTGATACACACAACTTTCGGTATTGCTCACCCATTTCCCCCCAAACCGCATTCACCCTCTAACCAACTTGCCTCTTTCCCTCTTCTTCCTCTTCCTCACTCTTCCCCTCTCCTCCTTCTCCTCAACCTTCCTGCTTGTTTCTCCCCTTCTTCTATCTTCTCGCTCCAGATGCGGTCCAGGGGAAATGCCCAAGCAATTCCTCTCTCCAAATTGAAACATCAATATTATATACAATAAAACTATTTCTACTTATCTGAGCTACTTAAACTTCAACCCATCCTCCCCCCACCCCCTCCCCCCACCCCCCTCGACTTCCCAGAGCCAAGTACAGGGTTATACAAACATATTAAACATAATCTATTTAAGTTTACTAATTATACAATAACCAAAATCATACTAACCCTTAACTCTCTTCAAACTTTAACCTCATAAGTTTATAAACAAATTCATTATTCATAAAATAAATGAAACTTTGTAGTTCCATACTTCTTCTGAACATATTCTATCCATCTTCTCCATACATTAAAATATCTCTCTTGTGAATGGTGCTTCATTCATGGTTGAGAACCTTCGAGTTTTCTAAACTGAGTAAGTTTGGAAGGTCCTAATCTTTATGAGTCCAAACTCTGCAGCTAATGTGAAACACCAGTCAAGACATTGGGGCACTTCAAAATGTAAACCAAGAAAAGAAACATACTTTTTTTCCATCGCTCCTCTTAATAAATGAATTCAGTAGGAAAGAATTTGGCACACTGGTGGGGAGACTGGTAGACAGAGAAATTCAGGGCAGATGGGCCAAGGGTGCAAGGAGAACAGAAAGCTGTTCAACATATGAAAAACAACATTCTCATTCTGCAGGAAGTAAAGTGCTCCTTCCCTACTCTCTCCAGGAAAGGCAAGCGGATTTAGTTTGGCTTACATTTTTTGTTACACCTTATTTTGAATCAGAATACTCAGGTGTGCCCTCTTTAGAGACTTCTTTCAAACCACACAGGGAGGAGCCCTGAGAGCAGTAAAGGGAAAAGGGGCTTCAGCCCTGCAACTCTTCTCCCAGGCTGCTTTTGGACTTGTTTAAAAGGTATTAGGATTTGGCAAGAGCATTGAAGAATGGGTCCTGCTCTTCTTGCCTTTGGACAAGCTGCATTTATGAAGCATAAAGCTTTGAGAAAAGAAATGTAAAAGCAAGCTGATTTCAGTCAAATGCCTGCTGTGAGCTGCCTCCTATATTGGCTCTCTACGTGTGGACTTTTAACACATCACCATAGGAGACAGCTGACAATTAATATGCCCATTGGTGAACTGAGATATTTGGATACAGTTTGATATCCTTCTCTGCCAAGAGCAAGATTAACTAGTTCTAGATGATTTTTTTTTGTTTTTAGTTATCTTAAGAAAGGCATTGTTCTGGCAAGTGGCAGCAGCAGAAATTTCTCTTTCATATCTGCCCTCAAAAGCTGAAGGATTTTTTAAAAGTGAAGCTGGGGCATTTGTCTGAAAATAAGGTCCTGTTAGTGGGGAGGGGGGGGAGGGGGAAGAGAAAGAGATTTTAAATCAATAGTGGTATGCAAATATTTAAAAACACTTAACTAGAAAGATTATTTTATTAATCTTATATAAGGTTGTTGTTTTTTTTTTTGTAAACTGCCCCAATCGTTAAAATTAAGACTGGCCAATGTACAAAATTTTTAACAATATTAAAACCAAAACATAAACAAAATGATTATTCAAAGTCTTCATCATGGACAAAGAACCTTCTGAATAAGTTTAAGTGCTCTGCAAAATGACCCAAGGATCAGTATTGTGTATACTGGGGGGGGGGGGGAGAGTGTATTCCAAAAATGTGAAGACTGCTACCAAAGGCTGCTTCTAAGTCCACACACCTTTTGTAACCCATGGGTTATAACCTTCCACAAGCCTTTTCTTGATGCCTAGGCCACAGAGGCAGAGGGAGATCTAATAAGACAAGCCCTAACATAACCTAGTCGTTAGCGAGCTTTATGGTTTCTGATCATCTTCAACATTCTATTGCACATCTGGAAGTCTATGTAATGTTGCTATGCTGCAGTGTGTTTGTTACCTCACTTCTAGCAATTGCTGCAGTATGTTTCACATAAAAAATGCAGAAGTGTAAGTGTGTGTGTGTGCGTGTGTGTGTGTGTGTACACACACGCGCATGTCTATGTGTGTCTGTCTATTACCAGCAGGGCCACTTTTAGGCTAAAGCTGGGTAGGTAATGGCCTAAGGTGCCAAATGTTAGGGATGCCACCTGTGCTTAGCAGTTTTCAATTGACTATAACAGGGAACTCTACTGGGGCATGGTGGTGGACCAAGCTTTAGTTGCCAAGCTTAATTTAATTTTAATTTAATTTTAAATTAATCATTTTTACAATGTAAAAGCTTTGCTTTAGTGGAAGGTGAAACCATCAGTCAATGTGGCCTACTGGGGCCATATTCCCTTGAACTGGCCCCGATTATCATACATCCAAGAAACTATCCCCAAATTCAGACTGCTTTATTTTGTTCTTGTAATGGTCTTCAGTCTGATTTTGTCTCTGTGAAACCCACATTTTTCTCTAACTAGAACTGGCCTCTTTTCATTTCGAATTAGTTGTTGTTAAAGGGGAGAAAGAGGATCTCATAATCCATCGATATTAACTGGAGCCTTTGCTCTTGAGCACACAGAGGGATTTTCTTTTCCAGCTGCTTATTTTGTTTTATTCAAACAAAGCAGCCAAGCATTAATTTTAGTTGTATTTAATTGAATAATTTCCCAGAAGAATAGTTTAGAAGAATTTTAGAGCAGCTTGTTTCCAAAACCCATTACTGACTGGCATATACTATAGCATCTGTGTGCCAATGAAAATAGGATGCTTTAATGTTATTGGAATTGCTTTTTTTTTTCCAGATGTGTTGAGAAGTCTCAGTGATATAGTGCAGGCAACAGCTCTATTTACACAAAGTAGGAATTTGAGTATCCTTTCTTAATTATCTTGGATAAGATTATTCTTCTTAACTGGAAGGATCAGGTTATAAAGAATAGAAATAGTTTCTCCTCTTCATTTTAGTAATTTCCTTCTGACTGAAATTGTACTTCATGCAATTAATAAAACAAAGGGTATGAAACAAGAACATCTGAATCCTAAAATATATTTTACAGAAACACTTCATGGAGCATCCCAACTGTTGAAGCAAAATATTTGGCAGTTCTTTCTTAGTCTAACCATAAATGCAAAAGTTCCAGACTAGACTTATTATTAAAGTCATATCTACATATAATATTCATATTTCAGAAAAAAATGATGTCACTTGGGTAGGAACAGATAATTTTAACTATTTTCATTAGGAGAAAATTCCCCAGTACAGGCTTCCTTTCAAAGCAAATACATTTTGCAGAGGAAGCATTTTCATTAAGATTGCAAAAGA